CTTGGAGTAGATGGGGAACCAGTCAGATCACAGAATCACAGAATCTTCTAGGTTGGAAGGGACCTTAAAGATCATCTTGTCCAACCATCAAATGCTGAGCATCACCCACATGAGACTGGGATCGTGGCCCTGCACCATGATCCCAGTGGAAATCCATTTGCAAGCGGTTTTCCCCTGTGGAAAACCATGATCTCAAGATGGTGGAGTTGTACCTCCTTCCCTTGCAGGGCAGCAGCCGTTACAGACACTATCTTTTATCAGCAGTTGACTCTCCGAGCATATTTCATGTACGATTTAGTAGCAAAGTTACATCATTTGACCCTTCTTTGTTGCACTTTTCAATCACCGCTCGGCAACATTGGGGAAAAAAAGGCCCAACTGTGCTGTAATTTACTGTGTCGCGGTGTATAATTAGAAGATTTCGCACTGATTGAGCTGAAGCCGTGGTACAAAAGCAAGAGTACAGTTAACTAGAACAGATTGATTTCAGATATCCCAAATGTCCAGAGAAATCCTTTCAGAAGGAGAGAAGGAGGGAGACATGTCTCGCCGTCCACTGGGAAATCAGGACTTCAGACTGTCTCAACCAGCTGATGTCTGAGCCTCTGAAGTGACTGAGATTTCTGTAAGGTGATTTCCAGGGAGGGAAGAGGGGAAACCACAGCTAAGCCGTACAGAGCATGATGGTACGTGAGGCCCCAGGGCCACCACTGCTCTGTTGAAGGATGTCCATGGAGCTGGGAGTGCTCATACCTGGGGAGGTGCCTGAATTTAAGCACAAGAAGGACATCATGTTGCTGGCCAGGAGTGACCTGGAGGCTGGACATCAGCTTTTTCGTTTGGGATGGAGCTGGCTCTGCTCTAGCCCAAAGCTCCTCCATCCAAGGGCTGTGGTTCTGCTCCTTAATCCAGGTGTTACCGGATCAAGAGTGGCCACATAACTTCATTGGAACTACTGGAACAGGTTGCCCAGGGAAGTTGTGGATGCCCCATCCCTGGAAGTGTTCAAGGCCAGGCTGGATGTGGCCTTGAGCAACCTGCTCTAGCGGGAGGTGTCCCTGCCCAGGGCAGGGGGCTTGGAACTAGATGATCTTTGAGGTCCCTTCCAACCCAAACCATTCTATGATTCTATGATTTCTGACAGATTACCTGGGGCAGCAGCGAAGGGATTCACCTCAAGTGAGCATGGTAGGACCAGAGGAAGTCTACGGCCAGAAGGACCACATCAGACCAGGTTTATACCAGGTCAGCACTTTGCTTTCTGTGGATGCAGCTCTTTGGAGCTGAAAAGATGGATTTACAGCATCGGCAAATGTGAGCCAAGGGGAAATGCTTCCTCACTTTTACTTCCAATCTCTATTTTCTGCATCGAAAGAAGTGTGGCCAGCAGGTCCAGGGAGGGGATTCTGCCACTCTACTCCGCTCTGGTGAGACCCCCACCTGGAGTACTGCGTCCAGCTGTGGAGTCCTCAACACAGGAAGGACATGGACCTGTTGGAATGAAGGGCAAAGGGCCACGAAGATGCTCCAAGGGCTGGAGCCCCTCTCCTATGAAGACAGGCTGAGAGAGCTGGGGTTGTTCAGCCTGGAGAAGAGAAGGCTCGGGGGAGACCTTATAGTGGCCTTCCAATACCTAAATGGGGCTCCAGGAGAGACGAGGAGGGACTCTGGATCAGGGAGGGGAGCCATAGGATGAGGGGGAAGGGTTTGACACTGAAAGAGGGGAGATGGAGATGAGATCTCAGAAGAACTTCTTTGGTGTGAGGGTGGTGAGAGCCTGGCCCAGGTTGCACAGAGAAGCTGGGGCTGCCCCATCCCTGGAGGGGTTCAAGGCCAGGTTGGAGGGGGCTTGGAGCAACCTGGTCTGGTGGGAGGTGTCCCTGCCCAGGGCAGGGGGTGGGACTGGATGATCTTTTAAGGTCTCTTCCAACCCAAACCATGATTCTATGATTATTTTAACCTTCAGACTACTTCCCACCCTGCATCTACCAGCCTTAGAGCTGAACAAGCTCTGGGTGAATGGGGACACATTTGAGCAGATGCTCAGCATCCTTCTGTCATGTTCTTTTTTCTTTTCTCTTTTTTTTTTTTTTTTTTTTTTTTGCATTGAATGAGGGTAAAATTAGCTCAGCAGGAGGTGAGGACTGGAACATTTTAGCTAAAGCTGCCGTAGTATTGAAAAGCCAGAGTTTCGCTGATTATTTCCCAGCTTTCTTACTGCGAGCAGCGTCGCCCGGTCTTTTATTTTGACAGATGAATGCAAGTAAAAATCCCTATAAAATAAAGTGCTCCGCGTGGTGTTTCAGCTCATTCTCCAGACAATCACTACAATTTGACCTGGAAAGCCATGTCCAGCTGAAGGTCCAGCTGGCTTAACGTGTCTCCAGCCACAAAGAATTTCTTCCTGAGATCTCTTCTAAATCTCCCCTCTTTCAGTGTCAAACCCTTCCCCCTCATCCTATGGCTCCCCTCCCTGATCCAGAGTCTCTCACCAGCTTTCCTGGAGCCCCTTGAGGGACTGGAAGGGGCTCTAAGGTCTCCCCGGAGCCTTCTCTTCTCCAGGCTGAACCCCCCAACTCTCTCAGCCTGTCCACATAGGAGAGGGGGCTCCAGCCCCTTGATCATCTTTGGGGTCCTTAGGTATTTTGGAAAACTGCTGTGAAGAGCATTCATTTAGGGTACAGTATTTACATTCTCTGCTCTCAGCTCTCAGGAGGAACAAGTTTGTAGCCTCTGCATCTCACAAGTGGAAATCCTGAGAAACAGCAAGGTTAAATGATTTGGTCACATCTCGTGGAGCGAGGAGGGAGGACAAGAACCCAGATCTCAATTTTAAGGACAACATCATCTACTCTACAATTTGGCTTCAGGGCTTTAACCACCAGGATATCATAGAATAGAACAGAATAGAATCATCTAGGTTGGAAAAGACCCTTGGGATCAGTGAGTCCAACCATCTACCCTACAAAGTTCTCCCCTACACCATATCCCCCAACACCACATCTCAACGACTCTTAAATTCATCCAAGGATGGTGACTCAACCACCTCCCTGGGCAGCCTGTTCCAGTGTCTGATCACTCTTTCTACAAAGAATTTTTTCCTATGTCCAGTCTAAATCTACTCTGTTGCAGCTTGAATCCATTCCCTCTTGTTCTATTGCTAATTACCTGCGAGAAGAGACCAGGTATATGGTACATACCTCATGGAACAAGGTGAAAACATCTGCAAAATATCTCTGAAATGCAGAGTCATAGAATCATAGAATGGTTAGAGGTGGAAGGCACCTTGAAGATCATCCATTTCCACCCCCCTTCCCTGGGCAGAGACACCTCTCACTAGACCAGGTTGCTCAAAGCCCCGTCCAACCTGGTCTTGAGTCCTCTGGTGTGCCCGTGTGGCTCGTTGCTACCCACCCATCATCACAACAGCTTGGAGGTGGGAGAAGTATAAGTGAACCCAATATTCCCTGTCTTGGTTACTCCAGGGTAAAAGCCAACTTCTCAGCCAGCTGACCATAACCCTAATGTGACCACTGACCTGGCGGCTCCTAGACTTGGAGGGAGACTTTCTAACCCCAGGTTCCTCCCTGCACAGCCCTGCTCCTGCAGATAAACACTACAAAAGCTCAGAATTCAAGAGTCAGTTTTGCAACAAAGTTGTCTCCTTCATCTGCAGAGCCTCTGATGGTGTGTTGCCTGGGTGGGTCTTGTGGACACGGGCAGGAGCTTCTGATGAAGCCGTCAATGTTAGCTTGGCTACTGGTCCACGAAGGTATGATGTGATGACTGGATATTTCAAGTCTGCTGGTGCAGAACGGAAAGGAAATGAGCCAAACTGTGGTGTAGAAGACCTTGTCCCAACATCTGCCCTTCCAGGTGTCTCTTAGTATCAATCATCCATCATGCCCTCAGTCTTCGATGCTGACTCCCAACTGAAGGGTGAAAGCTTGGAAACAAACTCCCATGCAAATCCCACACATGATCAAAAGCCATTTTGAAGCTGGTTTGTGGGCTCGGCGATGTGAATCCAACTGAAGGCACAGTCCATTCAGAGCAAACCAAACATTGTATCTCAATAAATCCCTCTGGGTTGGGCACATCTTCATCGAACAGGAAGACACAATGTTGAGCCATCCCAGTCCAGGTGCCCACAAAGCCTGATCTACTGCTACGGCCATCAACCACGTGAAGGACAGCAGAGGCTGGAAGTCACATTCCTGAAGTCCAGGTGCTTTGGTAGCAAAGGAGCTTACAAACCCATCTGGACCTTCTAGGTCTCCAAATCCTTCAGGCTCCAGGACTCTGGTGGTTTCCACTCAAGGTCCAATCTCCACAAAAGGCAGGAAGGAGCTGCAGGGACCTTCTCCCTGGCAGAGGACATGTGCAAGCAGGATGTGACAGAGTGGAGCAGTGAACACCTGAAGGCAGGGTGAGCAGGGCAAAAGAAAAAATAACCTTTAATTCCAGAGGCATGGGAATTTGAAGAGGGCTGGAAATAGTTGAGGAAAACCCACCGAGGACTGGTTTTCCCCTCTTCTCCTCAAATTTGTCTCCTCACCTGGTGGCATGGGCCACCCCTACATCAACACAGAACAGAAGCTTGGCCTTCCCTTGTATTTCAGGGGCTGGTACAGTGTCAAATGGGAGCTGGGTGGCTGGTATGGGGGTTCTTTCATGTTGAAATGATGAGAACCAGGAATAACACCACAAATAACCCCAGCAGATTTTGGGCAGGGAGCTGGGAACCCCTGTGCAACCAGCCCAGATCCATCCAGCCCCTCCAGACTTGGGCTGCTTGGGTGCATCCAAACAGGGGAGCCCAGAGTCACGTGGACCAAAGCCCAGTGGAACCCCAAAGTTCAAGAGTGACCCTATCTGGGTGCCACCCACACCAGAACGGTCGTCCCACCACCAACCCCGATGTCATACCCTCTTGGAGCAGCATCTCTCCTCCCTGCCTCATCCCCACCACTAAAAAAGCCACTCGGCACAGCCTGGGATCAAGTGTAGGTTTTTATTTTTTTAATGGAACATAAAACTCCTTTAGAAAAAACATTCATCTGGATGATAACACCCATAGAAAAAAACACCAATCTCGTGTTCTTTTTTTTTTTTTTTTAATTTGGCATTTGTTATTTGCATTTATATTAAAGCAAAGTGCATCTTTCTTATTTTTTTCTCGTTTATACACATTGCACAATACATAAATAATGATGCTTATAAAACGTCTTTATATTTACAAGTAATAATATATTTATATATAACATAAAATACATTTTTTTTCTTTAATAAATCTCAGGGTTTGTTTTTTTTTTTTTTAAGGAGTCCTTTTTTTTTTTTTTCTGTGTGTGTTTTATTTCCAAAGCACTACGATGCTAAAGTTCCAATGAGAATGCTCTCTTGTTCATTTAAACCTTTTATATTTAGAAAAATAGCTTATGTTAAGGTCTAAACATGCTCATTGAGCTAAGAACAGTGTAAAAGTATCATACTCGTGTATGAATTCAAGAAGAAATGAAAGCACAACTGCATTTCCAGATAGGATGGTACCGGGATAACCTGATGGGAGCAGGTTACAACAGACCAACTATCGTGAACACTTTTGTTTTTGTTTTTTCCCATTTGTTTTTCTTTTGTTTTGTTATTTTCTGGTTTGTTTTATATATTTTTTTTTTTAGGCTTAGGCTTCTGCTGCTTCACATCTCGGCTCAAATGATAAAGAAGCACGGGCCACGCACGAGGATTCTCCGCGGTTCCTTTTCCTCCCCCCCCCGTGCACCAAATCCCACGACGGTGAAAAATAATCAAAGCAGTGGAAGGATGAACACAGTGACAAGACGTGAAAACCCAGCGACGAGAGGAAAAAAAATAACAAAATAAAATAAAAATTAAAAGGGGTGGGGGGAAAAGACCTGATTGGGAAGGTTTCACACCATCCTTCGGCGGGGGTAGCACCGCTGGGGAAGGGGGCTCGGTGTCACCGTCACGGCGGCAAGGGGAAGGTGGTGTGTAAAAAAATACAGGTATCTTGTTGTTTTTATCCAAGAGAAGGAGCTGTAACATCGAGCGAGTGGCTTCCGAATCCACCGGATCACATGGGATAATCCTTTCAGCGGCGCGAAATAATTATCGCATGCGATCCATCCCACCCCACCCCAAACCCTCAGCCCCCTTCTCTCACCCTTCTGAGTTATTGGTCATTCACACTTTTTTAAAAAATAGATATATTTATCAAAATACCCCAAGGCAAAAAAAAAAAGAAAAAAAACAAAAAAACCCCAAAAAATATCTTTCCATAAGCTATTTCTCAAAACGGGTCGGGGGGGGGACCAAACAAAACAAAACAAAAACAAGAAGTTTGCATGAAAAGCAAGCACTCAGAAGGAAATAATAGCAGCAAAGTAGTATAAATGTCATGAGTCCACTCTGTCTCGAGTCATCGGTTATTAAAAATAACCTCCAACCAGCACGGGCAACTGCTGATAAACTGTCTCGTGTAGCACTGGCCCCAGCCTTTCACAAAGCTGATCTGAACAGTAAATCCGGTCCATGGCTGCTGCATGAACTCGTGGTCGTTGGGTCTCTGCAAGCTGTAGGCCTTCTCGTAGTCAAAAGCCTTGATGGAAAAACCCGGGAACACTTTGTGAACCAGCAACGTCCTGGAGTCGGGGTTGTCCAGTGTGGCCGACTTGATGAAGATGGGGTAACTGCTGCGGTTGTACACCCACACGCCGTCCACTTCCTTGGTGAGTTGGATGCCGTAGCCGATCTTGCTGCGGACCTTCTGCACCAGTTGGCTTTTGTTGTCCGAGTTGAGCTGTCCGAGGCAGAAACCATTCCCCTGAGGTAGATCATAGAAGATATCCAGGGAGGGCTCTTGGACAGAGTACAGCCGACCCACGCGCGTTTTCTCTTCCCAGTATGCCACCACGCACCAGTGTGACCGATCCCCCGGCTCCTGAAGAACTTGGGAATCTACAGACCAGGAGGAAAAAAAAAAAAAAGGAGAAGTTGAGCATCTCGCGGGGTTAATACGACCCAAAAGCAACGCAACACTGGCAGTGTCTTCACAACACACCAAACGCCCATAGCACATCCACCGTTTCCAAAAGCCATGTCTTAAGGCCACCATTAAGACCATTTGGAGTTGGGTCAACTCCAGGCCACCATTAAGACCATTTAAGTTGACCCTGGTTTGGGTCAACTTCAGGCCACCGTTAAGACCATTTAAGTTGACCCAGGTTTGACTTGGGTCAACTGTCCTGCTTCTCCACCTAACTCCGGTTACCAGTTATGAGTCCTCCATCACCAAGTCCACCTTCAGAAGCAGCCTGAGACCCACCAGCAGCACCCACGGCGCAGGTATCCCTCACCCCAACCATCACTAGGACCACCTTCACTGCCAACAGGAGAGATGAGATACTCCAGCCAGCTGCATCCAGCAAGACCAAACACGCTAAAACCCCTTATTTGCACCCACCAGACGATGGAAGTATTTCCATGAGTAAGGACCTACTGTGCACAGATGCCAAAAAAACATGAATCACAGAATAGCAGGGGTTGGAAGGGACCTCTGGAGACCATCTAGTCCAACCCCCTGTCAAAGCGGGTCCACCCAGAGCAGGTTGCACAGGAACATATCTAGGAGGGTTTTGAATGTCTCCAGAGATGGATACTCCACCACCTCCCTGGGTAAGCCTGTTTCCACCATCTCTCTGGGCAGCATGAGATGCTGCTAAGAAAAACACATTGAAGGTCACCCCATGGGACTGGAGGGGACAAAGACTCACCAGCTCTAGTTCATGGGGCTTTTCCCTGCCTTCAAGCAGAACCTGGGAGAGGATGGAGATGTCGGATGAAGCCCTAACCCATGAGAAAGCACCATCATACAGCAGCACGGTGGGGCCCAGAAAACATGTGCTTATTAAATAAATGGGCTAAAAGAGCTCAAAAAAACCCAAAAATTCATTCCTGTAGCCCTTCTTTTGCTCCCTCACCCCTGCGAGCAGCGAGGACACGATGGAGGAGGAAACAGCAAGGGATGGGGGGGGGCTGAGAAATGCAAAAAAGCCCCTTTTCCTGACGGAGGATCCCTGGCAGCCTGGTGCTGCTCAGCGGGTAATTCCTTCCAGCCTCAGCAGGCATGTTAAGACCTGGGAACTATTCATCTCTATAATTGTATTTAAAAAAAAAAAAAAAAAAGAAAGAAAAAAGAAAAAAAAAAGATATTAAATAATTAAAAAAAAAAATTCAAGCTGGGAATGCAAGTTAGGGAGCGCTACCAAAATACCTCCCCCTGCACCACGGGAGAAGGTACGGGAGCTGGGATGGTGGGTGACCCAGCACCCCCAAAGCTCTCCCTGCATCACTTCAGCAGCCCCCCCCCTCCAAAATCTCCCCCAGCACGATTGATGGGGGCGGCACACTGGCTGCCCTGCTTTGTATATTTTTATTTTTCTCTTAATAAGCCCATTTTCCCAGCGCAGGCGGGGTTTTTCCTCCCCTCTCCCAGTTGCTCTTCAAACCCTGCACTGTGCTTTTAAGAGAAAAAAAAAAAAAAAAGAAAAAAAAAAAACCCCAGCCCCTCACTTTTAATTTCCTCATTTCTATGCCAGCGAGGAAAATATTTCTCCAGTTGCTGGAGGCAGCTACTAAAAATGGGCCTTGACTGCGTTACGCCCCAAAACGGGTGCCCTCGCTCCCGAGTGAAACCCCAATTGGAGCACCCCCCAACCCGAGGGAGCACCCAAGGGGGGGGGAAAGAAACCCCCCCAGGATGGCATTTCCCCCCCCCTCTCCTCAGGAGACAGAAGAATTTGGGCGGGAGGGGGATGCCACGGAAATAGAGGATTTTGGGGGGATGCTCCTGAATCCAGGGAGATGATGCTCCTGGATCCAAGGAGATGATGCTCCTGGATCCGTCCCCACTTCCACCACCCATTGCTCCCCCACCCCCCCCCCCAGCGATGCTCAGAGCTCCTTGGGTCTCCTTTTACAGCAGTCGAGGGAATTTTGGAGCAACAGCCCTTGAGCCCCGCTGAAATTCCTACCAGTTTTTATTTATTTGAACATAAAAGCATCTCTTTCAGGAAGCGGCGAGGGGTGGGGGGAAGACTTTTTCACCTTTTCCACCTGATATTTGTGCCTGCATTAGCGAAGACCACTTAACAAGTAGCTCATTGCCACTTACAAAGAGTTATTTAATTGCCAGGGCATTAAAAAAAAAGAAAAAAAAAAAAAAGAAAACTGCCTTGGCTATGAATGAACAGACCTTTATGGAGGGCTGGAAGTTCATGAATGAATCCCACTAGGTTTTTCAATGACATGGGGTGACCAGACCTCAAGGACAAGTCTTAGGTAATCCAGGATATATATTTTTTTAATTATTATTATTTTATTTTGAAGGAGCCAATGCCAGCACAGAGTATAAATATGCCAGAGCCTCTTCCCGTTTGCGGGCTTGGGCTGTTGACTGGGATGTCTAGTCAAAAAGCCATGAGAATATTAAGGCTTGAGCTCGGATAAACAGGATCAGGCCTCCCTGCCAGCCGCCACCAAAGCTGCTTTTCATGGCTGTTGGGACCCCAGAGAGCCCCCCCTGCTCCCCCCCTGCCTCCCCCATCCTGGCATCCACCAGGAAAAGGGGTAGGAAAAGCCGGTGGCATCATTCGGGTGCTGGAGCCAGGAGCAGAGGTTGGAGGAGAAGAGGAAAAAATGACACAGAGATGCTTCCTCTAGGAATGGAGAATTATTTTTTATTCCCCCCCCCTCCAAAAAAAAGGCTTTTTGGGTGGTAATGACCATAGGTCTGGGCAAACGAAGCAAATAGATGGGTTTTGCCCCATGAAACCGGGGGTTCATCTGGACCCACCGCAAACCCCCCCAGAAACCCAGATCCCAGGAAATTTGTGGCCACATCACCCTCAACGTGCCCAGAAACGGCAGAGAAACGCTTTGGGATCCTCCTTTTTGAGTCAAAAGCATCCTTTTTATGAGCTCCTCGCAGCAAACACATCCCTTTCTTAAATGCCTGGAAAACTCCCAGCAAACTGGGAGCGTTCCCATATTCCAGCAAACAATGATAATGTTTAATGCTATAAACATCCACGCTCTTATTTCATTATTAAGCATCCTTTCCATTTGCTGCTATCATCGGTTTATTCTTATTTTCCATGGTTTGCATTACAGCCTGCCTAGGGGCTCCGCGCCCCCCTCCCCCCCCCCCCCCAGCGTGTTTTGCAAGCTTATTGTGGGGAAAGAAAAAAAAATTAAAAAAAAAAATAGAAATAACTGAAAATAAAGCGAGGTCTGGCCTCAGGAATTTAGAGAATTAAGTCATATTGATCACCAAGTTGGGTCTACGGAGAACGGCCGTCGGAAGCAGGGGACATTTTTTGCATGGAGGGAAGACATCAAGGCAATAACTCAATCTTCGAGGTAACATTTTGGAAGCTTGGTGTGGATGGTGGTGAAGATGGTGACGCCCCAGCAAAACCACATTATTCAACATCATATTCCCATTGAAAAACTGATATTTTTTTTCCCCATATTTTTTTACACCCTCCTAAAGGGCCGCCCTGACTTTTACCGGCGCATCCCTTGGAGAAGAAGGAGTGTCCTCCACAAAAGCATCATCCCAGCTACTTCCCAACACACCATCAGAGACTGAGGTTTCCCACCACCTGCCTTGACCCTTACGAACATCAAGACCTGCCCAAAATTGCTCAATAGAAGGCCACAGCCGGGATTTTTGGGTGTGCACAGGCTGCCCATGGGCTCAAGAGCATCATCTTGCTCCGGGGAGGGATGCTACAGAAAATGCTACATCCATTACATCCATACAGAAATCCTGGAGGATGGGACATGGGAGCAATAACCTCAAAAAATTAAAAGCTGCTGAAACCAAGGAGGTCCAGCTGAAGGTGGATATGGGAGATTCACACCATGGAAATACCCAAATTTACCAGTTACGGCCCCACACTTGGTTCACCCAGGCTGTGGCAGGAGGACTCACATCTCACATCACCTGAGGGGGCAGAAAAATTCTGGTGTGGCTTCTCCCTGCTTTTAAGATGATGAAACTTTATCATCTGTACTTTTTTCTTTCTGAGCTCCGGCAGTTTTATTAGGAACTTGGGAAGAAAAAGTTTAGCACACACTGAGCCATCTCACCCACCAGGACTAACTACTCCCCATCTGATCAAGTCAAGAGGTATCTACATTGTCACCAAGATCTGCGATAATAACAACCCGGCGCTGAAAACGGGAACGCAACTGCGCTCCTGATTAGGTTTTTAAACGTCTGTAATTGGATCTTTCCTCAATGACATCAGGACTAGATGCAACTTAATTTATTCAGCCGTAGAAGTGTTCCAACCTACGTATTTCTACTTTTTTAAAATATGTTCATTTGTAGATAATTTATTTAAGAGTAGCTTTGACCCAAAGCATCTTCTCGTGCTCTTCCCAAAGGTCTCACCATCAACACCCCCTCCTCTCCCCTCATTCCTGTGATCCCTGGGGCTGGATTTCGCACAAACATCAACCCTGACACAAAACTCACCACAGCGTCATCAACCTTGAACCTCTAACAAAAGTCTCCTTATCTTCATAGAATCATAGAACAGTTTGGCTTGGAGGGGACCTTAACGATCATCCAGTTCCAGACCATGGGCAGGGACACCTCCCACCAGACCAGGTTGCTCCAAGCCCCCTCCAACCTGGCCTTGAACCCCTCCAGGGATGGGGCAGCCACAGCTTCTCTGGGCAACCTGGGCCAGGCTCTCCCCACCCTCACACCAAAGAAGTTCTTCCCCACATCTCATCTCAATCTCCCCTCTTTTAGTGTCAAACCTTTCCCCTTCATCCTACGGCTCCCTTCCCTCATCAAGAATCCCAGAATAATAAAGAACCATTGAATGGTTTGGGTTGCAATGGACCTTTAAAGGTCATCAAGTCCAACCCCCCCTGGAATG